TTATTTTATTTGGGTTGGCTTGTTTGACATGCTATACGGGTAGACAATATTATCTACTGGATAGTATTTTTGAGATACTAGTGAAACCAAAGGTAGTTGTCCTGAATTTTGATGCATAAAAGTATAAAGTTTGGAGCTATGACTTCTGTGTTTAGCATTGCAGTAGTAATCATCAACCATTGGCAAGTGCTTCCGAACATTAATCATGGATGAATATGTTTGGGTAATAAAACAAATTATCTAACTATTCAAGAATAATAATAAACTGACCGAACAAGGTTGCTTGATGTCACCTTCAACCGTCTTCCTTTGTTTACGCCTGCAACGACCTTTCTAGGACAATAGAATGACAATAAGAAGCATGCAGCTAATTTAATGGAAATATTCATGTAAACGTTGAAAGATAAGAATAATCTTATTAATTATTCCTGAGAATTAATATGAATGTCATCCAGTATATCACGTTTACATATGTAGATATAAAGACATAAATATGGATGTGTTTTCTCCCCACCCGTCACCCCTACCCTCTCTTTTTTTCGTGGATATTCCTCAGAAATATGAGTCGTTTCCCCTAACCTACTTCTTCCTAGTTCATTGTTGTCATGCTTCATGAAATGTGCTTATTGTTGTCTTTTCTCTCTTTGTCTCTCTTTCTCCTACTCTCTCCAATTGACAAACTGTATACTCATCTGCTGTTTTCTTCAAATTTTTTTAAGAATAATTTCATTGTCTCTTCTACTTCACGGGCTTTCTAGGTGAAATTAGATTGTTTGCTTATCAATTTTTATTGTTAGCATTACCTCGGTTTCTTAAGGAAAATCCGTTAATTATTATCTATATCTTGCTGAACCAGTCAGTTATTTCTAATCCCTTTTTTTAAATAAAAAGGAGTCAAGAAAAAGAAGACGATGTTTATTCTCTGTAGTATTTACACATTGTCTTTGTTTGATTGTATTATTTTGATTGTTTGTTTTTATACAAGTTTGTGTGTAAATGTTAATTTTCATTTTTATATCTTTAGATTCTAAAGTTTAATTTATATTCACAGTGACCTTAAACTTCATTTCCCTAATTTTCTCCCCCAGAGTATTCATTTTTTCAAAATCTGAAAGTATCTTGTTTTACCTCTTTTGGTCTCTCTGTTGTTGTTGTCGTTATTGTTATTCTATGGTTCCGGCCACAGCAGGCATACTGGTGTGTGTGATTTCAGTTTAAATGCCTGAATAGTGTTTCTTGAGCATTATCTTGATATGGCCTCGGTTTATATACCTTGATTCATTGCCGCACATCGGTCATTTATGACCAGATTACTACGGTAATGACATTTAACGCGTGCGCGACGTAAATTCGATTCTTTGAGAGAGAGAGAGAGAGAGAGAGTACAAGTTGAGGCAATATCTTGCATAGTAGTTCCTGATCTCTGTTGACCACATATTACGTTTCTTAGCTAGATTTAACAATCAATTGTTTAAAAAGACAAGTTGTAACTGATCGTATTGTCCTCAGACAAATAGTTTGATTGACTTATCACATAGACTGGGATATTTATCAACTAATGGGATCAGAAGTAAGCTGCTTGCTTTTTGATGATTCGAGGCATCGATATAATACTGTTTGCTGGTATGAACTGCTGTATTCTAACTGATGTATATCAATATGCGTTAAACGTAGGTTCAACGTTTACTACCTATTTCTTTCCGGGAAATAAAAATAAATGTGAATCACTATTTTGTGGTCTCCTGGGTTAGTATATATTTCTCAAATACACCTCCACAAACGTACAGATTTGTTCCAGAAGCACCGAACTACATCTGAAACTAAGATTTGGTTATTCTGCTTATTTTCTCAAATCCTAGTAGATAAAGCAAGTTCGGACCATTGATCTACACCTGTAGAATGTCAGCTGCGTATTTGTAGCAACTATATCTACACCTCGATTAGTGAGAGACAGAATCAACGTAGAAATTCATACAGATGCATCACCTAAAGTTGCCGCACTTCACAGCAGTACACAAAGAACGCGTGGACAGAAGAATGTTATCAGAGCAATCTGAAGATAAAGGTTAGTGCGAATATTCAAGCTTTATACGGGGTCAAGGAGTGAATACAACCACACCATTATGACCGATTTTAAGCCATATCACCAAAACTCAGTCATCAACCACTGATTCATTTCGCCTTGAGGACTCCAACCAGCCAGTCTACATCGCCGCACACGACTCAGACCAACAGTCAGAGACTACATCGACTGGTGCCACACATCTTCGTGTGGCCACCCTGAAACCTCTTCGAAAGTAATCCAACTTCTGTTAACAATGTACGTCGAGGTGGGTGGTGACTCGGCATGCGCAACACAGGTCCTAGCCATCTCAGTTGACTAAAGTTCACAACGTTGTCAATCGACTTGCCTGTGTTGCCTAGTACCCTTCACCTGATCTGATCTCAACACTGGTCAGGTGAAACGGTGATTCCAGCAAACGTGAACAATGCTGCAAAGACACCTGTGATCAAAAGGCTGTAACCGCTTCATATCTTCTACTTTTAACGACTATGTCTCACAGTCGTGTAACAGGAGAGAACGGACTGCAGTGCAGTGTACTCGTCCTTTCATGGATAGTCGGGACTAGAGATGAGGGAAGTTGGCAAATGTCAAACAGGCCTTCAGTATGCGAGCTGAGATTTCGTCAGGAACCAGCCAGTTTTTCAGACTGGTGCAACTGCTAACGAAAAGGAGGTAGTCAATACATTCCACCACCTCACTACTTATCATAAGGATGAGAGTACTTGGATTAGACCAATCCTGTAGCATCATCTTACATTTAACAGGTGCTAGAGAGACGCATGCCAAACATGCTCAGATTTCTGCTCAACGTGTTCAGAAGACCATCATTACCTGTTTATCGAACGCATGTGTTACCTTGCGTGCTTCCTCATAACCGACCAGCGTATTTTTGAATGCGAGATACTCTTAAGTTGGTATGCGTGAACTGCTTACTCATAGGACACTAATCTTTAGAATGTCGTTGTTTTGTAGAACTTGTCTTTTTGAAGCTAAGCCTTGTTATATTACTGTATTCGGTCCGAATGTAACGTAAATTGATCCAGCTAAAATGAAAGCAATACAGTCATTGCTTTCTTAATTAATATGTTGAGTTTATATGGCTGCGTTTATCCATCTGGAATGCATTGTCGAACTGATGAGTTTTGGTTCATACTTCTCGCCATCTACTCAGGTTTGGTCAGTAAGGCATTGCAATTGCTCATTGTTGCTAAATATACTTGTATCCGCTGTTCAAAAAATATTTCGGTACATCGACCAATCTAGTCACTGACAAAATTAACTGGAATTACGAAAATATATGTGTGTTGTTATTTCTCATTTTCTCTTCACTCAAATTCACGGAACGTATTACAAATAATTGCAAAAATCGTGCGTGCGTATATATGCCAAACATAAAGAAAGTAACTTTCCGGGCAAATCAACGTCTAAACGTTTCAGTAAGTTTCTTCATAGGAGTAAAGTTTCAACTGGTGGGTGATGATTTTCATCTCCTCCCTTTTTCACCCTCCAATCTTACTACCAACTAGATAGCATGATCAGGCCTTATACAGTAGTTTAAAAGTCAGCTTATTGAAGCGAGCTATTCTGTAGACAATCATTTGTATCCATTATCATGCATGTCAGGCACTGTTGTGGTTATCTTGAGTTTTACTATTAGCTTTTCTTACCACTCTGTTAAAAGTATGTATATTAGAAAGTTAAATTTTAATTTTGGTAAATTCTGTATTTTCTCGAATAAGTATTATCCCTGCACTATTATCAATAGAAAATCAGTTTATCAGACTTAACGTAAGCAATGGTTTACAGATTTATTTACACACGGATGATGATGAAGATATGAGTAGTCAGATGTTGGCTACTTCCATCTTTATCGTCTTCACTTGCCAGATGGCCAAAAAATCTAAAGACTGAACAGTTGTTTATAAATAAGATTACAGACACTGCACATATATGCTGTCATGATGATACACTGGATTAAAGATGATGACTTACAGTTTAGTCAGCATAGCTTCCAGCATAAAATAGAACTGTTGATTCTACAGTTATATGATTAAAAAATGTAGAATAGTTTTTAGAAATATGTGTATTTGAACTTAGCAATTTGTTTACAGTTTACTAACTGCTTGGAAAAAAGAGCTCCCACTGTAGTCCAGTTTGTCAAGGGGGTGGGACGACCGGATGCTCAATCTGCAAGTATTCGATTTTAATAGTCGGAATCCAGGTGTTCTCTTGATCTCATCATTATTTCTGTATAAAGCACTATTTAGCTAAACATAAAATTACCTAATATTGCAATAAACATTTGAATCTCCAGGTCATACTTTCACTTAGCGTACACATAATCATTGTATGAATCCATCCAAATCAACATAAAACCAGTCATTACTGCGTAACCATCCGAGTTGCCACAGCTCGTATCAGTACATCAAGTAAAAGGGCAGTGAAGTGGAAGATGAAGAAATGAAAATCCAGTCAAAGGAAATATGAGGTACTAAAAGAGAGGAATGAAGAATGAGAAAGTGGTGAGATTCGGTATAGCGTCGTTAAGATGAGGATAATGTGTGCATACATCTATGCCACTGACATTGGTTCTGAGCCACATCAGTGTATGAAAGTCAAAGCTTTCTCATAAAAACAACAATAGCATTTTGGACTAGTCAGACTGTGATGAAAAATAAGAATCATATAGTTTGGTCAAAAGATGTCGCTTATAACCTAACTAACTACAATAAATTTTCCACAATGATTTATGTCACCTGCATTTTAATCATTATGGATACAATATTGTTTGATGTTTTGTGTGAGGAACTCCGTGGTGCCTAATGTTCATTCCAAATGATCTATAAATCTTGAGTGGATATTTGAAGGACTTCATTACAGTTATGCTTTCTTAATGTGTATAATTATCATTTTGCTTTACATTGATTATCTTTAGGTCCATACGATTCCAGCTAAAATGTTTCGTCGTGTATTAACTCTGGTACAAGCCCATTGTAAACTTGGTTTAACAGCAACTTTGGTACGTGAAGATGACAAGATTACAGATTTGAATTTTTAATTGGGCCCAAGTTATATGAAGCCAATTGGTTAGAATTACAACAACGTGGTTTTATTGCACGCGTCCAGTGTGCAGAAGTGTGGTGTCCTGTTACACCAGAATTTTATCGAGAGTATTTAAATGTGAGTCTGTATGTTTGTTCGCTTTTTATCGGAATTGTTTTTATGCAATGGATAAGCATCTTTGAATTTTAGGTGTATTGAACACTCGAATGAAGTGTAAACTGTGAAAGTTCTCGTTTTATTCGCTTTGATCCGACTAACAGAGATTGAAGTGTTTGAAAAATATTTCATGTTATTGCGTAGAACATCTAGTTAGTGCATATATATGACCTTTTTTACCTATCTGATGTTAAGCTGTAGAATTTTTTGCTGAGCAAGTTATATCGTTCAACAAACTTTATTAATTTCATGAGACCAGGGAATCTTCAATAAGTGTCGAAGAAATTCAAGGGAATATAAAGTCAGTAATCGAAAATGTAGACACGAATGAGAGTGTTCGTTTAGAACCAAAATCATCATAGCTTTCTCTACTTTTGGGCTTCTTCATACTAAAGGAACTCAGGTCTGTTGAAGCATTCAGAAGAAAAAGTGGATTCGTTTGCTACGGGATCCTAAAGATATCTACCACAAACTAGCCACATAAGCTATTGGATGTGTTCATGTTCATAGAATTGCTTCATTTTCCTGCAGAGTCCTAGCACTGGGAAAAGTAAACCGTAAAGCAAAGTGAAATGCAGGATTTTTAAAGTCAGCCCTGTTCAATATTTCCCTTTTCAAAGTAAATGAGGTCATTTGGTACACCATGTTTAGCTTGGTAACTTTATCGCCTTCACCAGATATTTGACATGTTCGGTTTTTGAATTTTGATAAGGAGACCACATCTTTATTTCGACGATTGGTCTTCTTGTTCCACATCAGACCGATTTTTTCACTTCATCGTCAGACTTCTCCATTCTTTTAAATAAGTTTTTACGGTTTGACTTTCCATATAAGTGATTGTATTATAGCACAGCATCGTTTAGATTCCAGACATTATGTTTCTTTCTTTTCTTTTTGTCGTTTTCTGGCTATTCCAGTTAAAAATTTGCTATGTCGACAAATATCATTCAATGTATTTCAGCATTGTGCGATTGTTTTATTACTTGCCTACATTATTACATCAAGCCTAAGCTGCCATTTGCAAAAAATCCAGTGTCACACTCATAGCTACTTCATCATCATTTGCATTGTTTACCGGAGTAAGCTATCTGCATAACGGAATCTGATTTATTAATTAGTGCATTGTATCAGAATGCAGTATAGCTTTGGTTTAATCTAAGAGAAGAAGAAAGAGCTATGAATAAACTGTCACTAAAATCATGTTCATATTGATCCATTTTACAACTTATAGTCGTTCCATCTCGTAATTTGATTTTGAATCCAAGCACATTTCTTGCTTTAGTTTAAGGTACATCAATTCATAAAACGTTTAACGTGTGTTGACATAAATAGACTAAATAAATCACTGTAGAATCTTTCATAAAAATGTAACGCACTTCATATCAGTGGAGATAAGTTGAAATGGGATACTCAAAAGATAGAAAGGTTGCGGGAGAAGAGATAATATACATAAAGAGTTCCATCGAAATTTTTAGGATTATTCTTAACAATAACTAGTGAGCAAGCCTAGATCACTGTGATAAATTCTAAACGGTATCAAACTGGGTCCCCAAAGCTTAGTTCCTAGTATCTTGACGACCTCAACCAAGTAGCATGCACCTCTCCACATAACTCAGAACGATAGCTAGAAACTTTACAGACTAGTGTTATATTTTCGTCTAATTACTCTCAACCTTTTGCCAACTAACTCTACATGCGCTAACGTATTGAGTCAGTAAATGGATTGCCTTGCGAAACACATTTCTCAGTTATCTAAATCTATATGAACTGAATCGCTCTAACGAGAAGTTGACTGTCCTAATTAGGGGAGTCCATATGATAACCTACTCGTCAAAATACTTTTAAAAAAATTACAGTATGACATGATTCTGCCTTATGTCATAAATGTATCGCAGGCAAGAGGTTTGAAATGGGACAATAACCAAATCTACACATGCTTTGACTCAAAATAACGTCCATTTATTCTAGTAACTTGTAAAAACTATGCTGTATTGTATATACGGTGAGCATTCTTCACTACGCGATGTTTTATAACAGTACTACTCATTTATACTTTCAACATTGTAATGACATTGTTTGTGCGCTGTTCTTGCTAATCCAGAAGACGGTACTGTCAAGCGGTGGTAAATAATAAAATAAAACTCACTAAGCGATTTTTTTTCTACCTCACCCAGAAACAAATTAACTGTTTTTGGGATGCTCAGTCGATGCTGATAATGACACAGCTAACTCAATTGTGAAATTCATTCATAGTTTCTGTTGGATGTCAACATTTCTAGGCCACAAATTGTGACTTTTTTCGACACTGAAAATGCAGTCAAGAAAGCGATCAGCGGACATATATATACTGGCGTGAGTAACTGGAAGCCACTCCGATCAGTCCGAGGTGGTCCGCTCACCAGTTGATTATTTCTTTCATCGGTCTGAGAATCTTCCAAACACTTGTCTAGATTCTAGATTTTACCAGTTCGTTCAAGTAACTGGTTAATTTGAATTAAAGAGATTCAGTCTTTTGAGGGAAATCCATCGAGAACACCACTGATTAGTTCAACCTCAAGCCCTACTCCAGTGGTTAAGTCATCTCGATTAGTCTAGCATAAGCAACACCACCGATTGGTCAGAGTCTTTCTTAGCTACCCATGTCAATCTGTAGTGTAGATCACGAGGTTATTCTACCTGTTTAAGACCATTTGTTTTTATTCTAGAATCTCACTGATGCATCTCTACAAGATTGCTGTGAGATATTCTTTTAAAACATGTATCTTTTAAAAAAAAATATATAACTCTACTAAAGCTGATGATTTATGTACAATGGATATATCAACTTTAATCGTTTAACACTGTTGTTGTTTTTAATTGATAGAACAAAGAAAAAGTTGAGTTTATTTATTATTCTGAAAGGTGTATCTTGTTGTTATTATATAGTTTCCTGTCACTTGAATCTACTTGCGCTTATCTATTTCTGAATTCACTCACTGTTCCTTTTACTATGCAATAATATGACACCATTTGATATCATAAAACATATTCTTTCTCCATCTCTCTGTGTGAACACGATGTCACGTCTCATATCATTATTACATGTTCATGCCTTCATAGATATAGATAAACTATGTACGCAAACTCAGAAAACTCATTTCTATGTGTAGTTATCGGTCTATCAACAGCAAATTAGTATTCATATAAACAGCTCAATCTACCTTGTCACATGTTAAGTATTTTCCTTGAGTTTTATTTATCCATACTGCTATTATTTTTTATTAATTATTGAATGTTGACTAGAATCTATTTGAAATTGCCTTGATTCAGTTGACTGATCGTAGTGTAACGAGGATGAATTTTCTGTCAACTTCAGTTCCCATCTTGGATATTGAGTGACTTATTGCTACTGATTGTGTTAGAGCTTACGACAAGTTATCCGGTGAAATGTCTACATTGAATAGTTTTTATCAAAGATATCCACTGTTTTCTTTTTTAAATTTGTTACAGGCATACTTATTGAGGTTTCTTTCTCCTTGTCTGCCTTCAGAGGGATCAACCTTGTCGTTTTAGATTAATCAGATAATATGGTTAGTTGAAAACGTTGATAAGATGTAGAGTCCTCTGGACACGTTGAATGACAATTTGAAGATGTTTGGGATGTTTTTCTAGTCGACCAAAAGCAAATTCTTGCTGATATACATATAGCTCCACTCACTACCTTTTTGTATATCTTTACCAGGGACTTGATAGAGCCCGAATTACGTAAATGTTGACGCGTGTATAAATACCTTCAAATTCCACCTTTAATGGTCACTGAATCTCTTTGCAAATAGGAAAGACGGCAATAGAACAGAAGATATATTTTTCAACTGCAACATAAACAATAAATGCAAAATACAATATATATATATATATATATATATATATATATATATATATATATATATATATATATATATATATATGTTGATGTAGTATACAGCGACGTAGGATTATTTACTGGACAGCATTTCTAGCATAAATTATAGCTCATAATCTTATCAAGGTTGTTACATAGCTATATTTTTGATTAACGGTTCTGTTACCTTCCATTCTTTGGTTTTAATTGCTGTGCAGTTTTCTAGATATCATTGTAAATTAAAACTAAAGGTGACTAAAGTAGTAAAACGTGTTATCAGTTGATGAAGCTTCTACCTACTGGTTTGAGTCTTGTAAGAAAATGTTAGCTTCCTGCTTGCTGTCCTTGTTGCTACCGATGTCAAATATTGGAGACTTTAAGCGATTTGGTCTAGAATCAATCCCAGCGATGTAGATACATCATACATTATCTTCATCCAAATAATTATATCACTTTTTATACGCTTTACCTAGTCTTTTTTTCCTGATTTTGCATAAATTTTGACTGCATCCTTTCCCCCCCCCCTATTTCTCTGTCTTTTATTTTGGCGTAATAGCTTCAACGGTTATGTAGTATTGCCACGTTCCAGGTTGTTATTGACTAAGTAGATACTATTCGGATTGTTATCTTACGTGATAGCGTTTATGATCAATGCTGCTTTATCTCAAATTTTTCGCGTTCATAAAAATTCTAACGCAGAGTGTCTGAGTTAGAAATGAATTAAGGTGTGAATAGGTAGATTGCTTTTTTGTTTCTCTTTGTCTATTTATCTTTTGTTTTTCCTTATTTGTATAAAAATTCCAATAATTTTTCCCTATTTATTTTCAATTATTTCTCGAATTCCTCTTCTCCTTGCTGGATCCTTTTTTGTCTGATCATTTTTTAACGAAAAAACAAACAAACAAGTAATCAGTGCAGTAACAAGCTGACGTAAAACTTCGAATAAAAATCTAACGATTTAATTTGCCTAACTTCTCAACCCAACGCAAAAGAAAGTCAATGATATTCAAATAGCCGAGAAGGAAATACGATAAGAGAATTTTAAAAAAAATGAAGATTGACAGGATGTTTTATGATTTTG